GAAGCCACTATCTTGTACCTCACATATCCTATGGAGAAGTATCCTGGACACATGAGTTAGCCCCACTCCACAGAGATGGCAGTAAAGAAACGAAAATAAACTGGTAGCCCCAATGTTACACATTATGCAACTCTTTCTTAGAGTTCTAAGAAAAAAGATTTCCAAACACATGGAATAACAATAATTGCACAACCCAGGGCAGCATGGGTTTAGAGCAGGTCTCTCCCGCCCCTCGTAACTGTTAGACTATAATAACATGATCTTATATGCACTTGAGGAGAGACAAAATGCGGATGTAGTGTAACATGAATTTTGAGGAGCCTTCGACAAATACAACCATGGTGTAAGAGCGCACAAAAGAGCGTGCAAAATGAATAAATGAAAAGTGGACAAATTGGTATTTAACTTCCTGTAAACAGAAACCTTAGAGTATTAATTAGCAAAGTGAAAGCAGGGCTGCTAGAGTGGACAGCTCTGTTCCCCAAGGCACAGTACTCGCCCCACCTCTAATCTCCTTCTTATATCATACACAGACAGGGACATAAATCATGGAGCCAAATCATCCTTCGCAGATGATACAAGAATGTGAAAATGGCATCTAGTGAGGATGCAGCAAACCTTCAAGCTGATACAAACTAAGTCTTCCGATGGACCAATGACGTCAATATGATGTTCACTGAGGACAAATTTCAATTACTGTGCTGTGAAAAAATGAGGAATTAAATACCGAAATAGAGTACAAGACAAGATTGAATGGTTCCACAGAACGAGAGTTGAGTGTGAGAGACCTGGGAGTGATAATGTCAGAGGATCTAACATTGAAGAATGAAAGCAATGTTGTTATTGAAACCACGAGGAAAAAAAATAGGCTGGATAACTACATCATCCAAAATAAGAGTTGTTGAGGCACTTGCTCTTCATGTCATTTGTTATCCATGGGGGGGGAGCACGTCCACTCCTTTGGATCAGGAGCCTCTCACTGGCTTTGAGGCACTTCCATTGAAAAGAATTATTGTATACTAACGGCTCTCTTTAAGGCAGGAGGTAATACAGAAATAGTGAAGGTACATAGAACCTTAACTGCTGCTATAACCTCAGTCAAGCATCTGAACTACTGGGAATACTTGAGGTCCCTAGAACTGTACTCGTTGGAACGTGGGAGAGAAAGATGCATCATAATTTACACCTTGAAAATTCTTGAGATGGTTCCAAATCTACAGATTGCAACCACTTCATTCGAAAGCCAAAGACTTGGCAGATAGTGCAAAAGCATCTGATGAAAACCGGAGGCGGGATGGGTACACCAAGAGAGAACTCATTAAGTGTACGCGAACCAAGACTCTTCAACAAGCTTCCTTCGAGCGTAAGGGGAATTTACGAACAAACTTGTCTTCAAGAGGAACCCTGACAAGTTGATGAGCCAGGCTGCAGTGCATACGTTGGACTACATGTAGGCGGCACTAACAACCAAGTCGATCAAGGCCTGGTCTGGGATCGGGCAGCGGAGGTGGTAATACCTGAAAATGAGGGCAGGTAACCTGCAGGTAACCACTTCCTAAATAACCTCACTCAAGCGATCTTTATCCTCGCCTCCCTCCATTCCCCCTTCACTTCCCTCCTCCCCCCCTCACATCACATAGCCCACTAAGTAACATAGTCCTGGGCTCGGGGAGTTCTTGTAATCTGCTTACCATTATTCCTCCTACTATCATGGTTGTCTTCTCTACCTTCCTCAATTTTACCCCCTCACTCTGTTTGACTCCTCACCACTTTCCCTAGCATATATCCCCTCTGTCGGACTCCTCACTTCTTCACTCTTTCCCTCACTCTCCTTGTTTTCCCTCACCCCCTCCCTCATTCTTCCCCCATTCCCCTTAATTCCCCCTCCTACCTCATACTTACTCCTCTCTCCTTATTCCCTATACCTCTTCCTCTCACTCTTTTCCCTCACATTTAGAGTTCTCATCATCGGTGACTGGTCAGGTTTGAAGCGGAGCGGCCAACTTCCTTTCACTTTGGCCCCTTAACTCGCCGCAGTTCCTAACTACTTGTTTGCTGTGTTTCCCCAACTTACTGCAGTTCCTAACTACTTGCTTGCTGTGTTCCCCTAACTCACTGCAGTTTCTAACTACTTGTTTGGTGTGTTCCCCTAACTCACAGTGGCCTTGACTCATCTGGTCTGGTTTATCCTTGTTTGTTAACTCCCCTCACTCATCGTGGGCTGCAATCCCTTAGTAATTCCCCTTTGCTTCCCTATTTACCCTCGTGTCCCCTTGGTTCTCCTCTCCTCTCTTATATACCTCATCTTTCCCCCCCCCCCCTTACCTTCCTGATCCATCCTTCACGTAGCCCTGCCCAGCTTATCTTGGGTCAGCCGCCTATATTTAGTGGGTGTTGTTTTGTACAAGCGAAGTATTTTGTTTCGTGTTCTGACTGGTTGTCGCGAGACTAGTGCAGGTATGTGTTGTTAGGTATATAATGTAGCTTTAAAATGTTAAGTGGGTATTGCAACAGTAGCCCGTGGCTTGGTTGGCAGTGCACTTGCCTCACAAACTGAGTGTACCTGGTTCAGCCCCCGGCATTTGATGAGTCCTTGGGTGTGTTTCCTTACAATTGCTGTGGGTAGTATTTTTATGCAAGTCTGCTAGGAGGATGAAAAACAGTCCCATGCGTTGGGGTACTGAAATTTTTAATTTGCTTGGACGACCTTGTGTTGTTCACTACCACTATCTGTGCTCTGTTTTCGCCGCCTGAATATCCATTTCTCTACTTTTCCAGTTACACATATACTAACTTCATTGTATGGGCTGTTACTCCTTGGTAACATTTGTGTAACGCCTTTGAAAAAATCTTTGTAAACCACATCTGTATTTTGGCTGCGAGTGTAGAAAAACTCTCGAAACCAGTCAGAGGAATGGGAAATATATGAGGATATTCCTACATTCAGCAGTATGGAAATAACTAGGCTATACTAAACTAGTTAGAAGAAAGTCTTTATGCACGGAAATCAGGTACACGTGAGAAAGGAGCACTAACGTAGGCTTACCGACAACACACCTAAAAAGTTGAGCATAGTTGTAGCGATAGAGTAGTGGGTGTGTGAGAAGGCTGACGGATGGAGTCACTGAGAATGGGCCATGATGCCTCCTGCAGCGATCCTCTACTCTTTTTTTTCTCTCTCTATTGTTAGTAGGTAATAGAGTAAAAGAATTTAAGTGTGCACCTGAGGTGTTTGCATATATAAAAGCTTCTTTCCAACTATCTTTGTATCACCTCAACACCTGAGTAGTCTGGTTAGACAGAAAATGTTTGCATTATTTCTATACTATTGACTTTGGAATTGTGTGAGAGAGAGAGAGTGAGCCTGAAGGAATAATTCAGAAGAGTGGAATTGTGTGAGAGAGAGAGTGAGCCTGAAGGAATAATTTAGGAGCTCTTCTTAGGACGTGTATTGAAGCACATGACAGCATTTCAGTAACAAATTCATTGTCATCATCAGGATTCACTTCTGGACCACGATGCAACACTATACAAACCATAGGAAGTTATTGAAAAATGCAATAAAACTTGAGCAGAACACGAGACATACCTGAGCTCAAACATAGTGCACCAGTTCACTTGTAATTGTAGTATTAGATGTGTGGGAAGTACTTTCTGAATTTTTTAAGAAGCTTTACTCCTCCGTTCAAACCATCTCTCTTATCCGGGTCTCGTAAAGATGCATTAAGGCCAGAAGAAAGGCAGTCATTCTGAAAATTAGCTTATTTACCAGACGAGCCTGCCCCATGGCCGGGCTCTGGGAGCAGAAAGACTCGAAACTCATCAAAGGTATACTATAAAATAACTTTAGTGTACACCCCCCTCACAGCAACACCATAGTGTGTGTCACAGCAACACCATAGTGTGTGTCACAGCAACACCATGGTGTGTGTCACAGCAACACCATGGAGTGGGTCACAGCAACACCATGGTGTTGCTGTGACACAAGTTTAATGTTACTACTGATGATTACGATGCCGGCTAGTTGATAAATAACATAAAACACTGAAGAAGCTTGTTGTGCAGGCGAAGCGTTTCGGAAATATAGTTACCCAAGTGCTGCAACTCTGTTTTATTCATCAGTTCGTCAGTGTTGTCTACCATTAATAATATAGCAACCTTTTTTTGATATACAAATTATCAAACACGTGAATTAACAGCGTACACAACACCCCACACGTTTTGTCCGGATTTTTAACCCGGGGTAGGGAGAGTTAGCCACCCAGGATAATCCTAGAAAGTTAGTGCGTGTGATAAACTTGTCATTGTATTCCCAGTTCATCTACATTATATTATTAATGTGAACAACTGATATGAACTCTACTTTATTGATTATGTTTTACTGTATAAATTTTTTGTGACTTTTAATAATAATAATAATTTATGTTGTATTTGGAGAAAGCGTTAAACCCATAGGAGTTAACAGTGTCTTTGAATGGGAAGTAATGAGGTTTAATCCATGGAAGGGTAGGACACCTCCAAGTCCTAGGATCAAGAGCACGCACTGGTATAAGGAACATTTTTTTTTGAGGGGTATAAATACTAAGTATTTTAGAAGGCAGATGAGGTGATGTTGAGATGGTCTGAGAATTTGGAGGGGATGGAGCAGAATAGGAGCCTCCGTCAGCTAATCTTATTAAAGGGCAAGATTTATATTTCCGTCTTTTATACGTTTTATAAAGACGAGTGTAGGCCATATTGAGAAATAGAATTTACACAATCCTTTCACCCCCCCTTCTCCCCCAAAAAAGGCTAATATAGAAATATTCCTCGATGCTTGTTAGGACAGAACTCTCATCATGTAGCCAGATTGTTTAATTCACGTCAGGCGCTAAACACTAGGAAGTTGTAATTATATTTATAGGGGAGCACTAAATCCACAGGGGTCATATATATGTGGACGTACCATGAAAGTCACCGCTCGTAGGCAGTGTTTTAATGTGTGTTTGTCTCTGGTGCAGCTGAGGTTGAGCGGAAGCTGGAAACTCGGAACCCCACAGAGTGGACACCTTACCAACAACAGCCTCTTGGCCTCTGCAGGAACGACATACAGAGGAGGGTATGTATTCTAGCACCTTCCAACACCTAACTTGTTTATCTTTAATTGGATCAGGGTGAAGCCCTGACCCTTAATCGTCATATAGAGCCTGGTTCATGAGCTCCTCAGAATCATCAAAGCTCCTTCCTTGAGGAGCACTTTTTTTTGGTAAAATTTAATTATAATTAAAATAAAATGCTGGACCTGCAGTGGTCGTTTCAGCTCTTTGTAATGGTCAGCAATCAGGTTTGATCCAAGGAATGTGAGGATGTCTGCACTTTCTTGCATCAAGAGCCCTTCGCTAGCATCAAACTCCACCCCTTCTTGGTGAAGGGTAACACTTCGTTGACCTTCGTGTTAAATACTTCTTTCTTCTGCCTTTATTTTGAAATCGTAAATGGAAATTACAACGTATGGGTTTGCAGTTCCTGTGGTTAGTTTTGATACAATTATGATACAGTTACAAACTGTAAGTTCAAAACAAACCATGCAAACTATTTCTAAAACTTACAAGCTACTTAATCCTAGTCCTGACAAAAATTTAAGTATTGCATAGCAGTATAGTATAAATAATTCATTCGAGTCAAAGGATGGATGAGATTCAAATATTAAGTAGCAAGTGGAAGCTTATTCTTAAAAATGTATTTCAGGTTTAAATTTTATTGCATTGTTATTGTGACTCGTGAAAGCGTGATAACATGATTGCAAATAATTCGTAGAGTGGACAGGATTCGAACCCATGTCCAGATAGTCCTACAGTGTGCAGGAGTTTATTATTATTATTATCACAAAAAAGGCAAAATAGAGTATGAAGACCACAGAGGACATCACAAGGGGTAACAAGATGTTGTTTCCTAGAGCCCCTGTGCGTCGCCGTCAGGGAGTGAGCGAGCAGCCACAGCCACGCCCTTGGATACAGCCAGCAATGCTGAAGACACCTCAAGTAATGGAAATAAGGACGACGAGGACGATGATGCTGACGACGACAACGACGATGATAAAATCGATGCCCAGTACGACCCTGAGCGTCTTAAGGCGTTCAACGTAAGTACTGAATCTACATTATAATTCCTTCTTTTATCATTAACAGATACGCTACAGTGTGCATATAATATTTACAGAACACTAATCCTTCCAGAAGGACTAGATTTTCTCAACCATTTTGCTTAGCAACATCTTCAGGAGGTGGACGTGAGGTCGAGTACCCTTGGATGAAATTCCGTGATTGGCCCATTGGGGTGCTGGGTTAAGAGTTCTCTGGACCCCAGGGCTCAGCAGTAGTAATCTTAATGGCCTCGTAGCCAAGCTATAATTGGGGTTACCGACAGTGACATCACAGACCAGCTTATCTCTTTGTTCCTGCGCAAAGCAGACAGACGCCTGAGTTTTCAACAGTTTAAGTGTGGATAGTCCCAGTGGAAGAGCCCCCGGGGCAACAGCGTGTTGTGTGCTTCCTTCACTTGGCCCGTTTTAAATACCAGAATGAGATTTCCGTGGATGCATGTTTATTCCTTCCTCAGGAGATAAAAGCCCGTGGCAGTGGTAGTTGTGATCTGCTCGCGCTACTGCTGGTGGGTCTTTGACACCCAGGGGTGAAGCTGTCAGTAAAGATTATTCCAATGGACTCGTACAAATCATATTCACCCTTACCAACAATAACTTAATAGGCCAGCCTATCTCTTTGTGTTTGTGTCATTTAACATCGGCAGTGGAAATCAGGCAGCCCCCACAGAATCAGGGTGACGGGTGCTCTCGTCACTTAATCCACACTAAATACCAGAAAAGGACTCCTTTGGATTCCTTTCACTGCTCCTCAGCAGATACATGCCCATGACAGTCACTAACTTTTGGAGGTCTTCCAATAGAGTTTCATGATCATATAGATGCGTGGGTGTGTACTCGCCTAATTGCTGTTGCAGGGGTCGAGTCTTAACTCTTGGCCATGGAGTATGTGTGTGTGTACTCACCTATTTGTGGTTGCATGGGTTGTGTGTGTGTGTGTGTGTGTGTGTGTGTGTGTGTGTGTGCGCGTGCGTGCGTGCGTGCGCGCGCCGGCGTATGTCCCAGGTTTAGTACCACGATTATTCCCTCCTTTTTTTCCCCTCCCTCTTCATCTAGTGTTGGGCCCATGGGATGCTCTCGTGATGATGTCAGTGACTTACGTAAATCTAGAGTTATCGCAGTAATTTTTTTCTGGCTGTAAATACCCACTTGCATGTCTCTTGAATATTTCGACTACAGCCTGTAAAATTTTCAGTACCATAACAAAACTGGCTGCACGTGTTTTCTCCACATGGTCTTCTCCCCATCCACGTATCATTAGGTATCCTTCCCCTCCCTTTTATCACATAAATATTGTGTTCTTTCTAACAGATGTTTGTGCGACTGTTCGTGGATGAGAACTTGGACCGCATCGTTCCCATCAGCAAGCAACCCAAGGAGAAGATCCAAGCAATCATCGACGCGTGCGCACGACAGTTCCCAGAGTTCGCAGAGAGAACTCGCAAGAGAATCCGTACATACCTCAAGAGCTGCAGGAGGAACAAGAGAACTCGTGATTCTAATGGCTGGGAGACGGTGAGTGGTAGAGAACAACAGTCACAAGGACTGTGTGTATGTGTGTGTAATTTATATATTAAATATATTATAAGTTTGTCGGTCTTCTGGTTCCTGAGTTCATTCTCCACTTCTGTGATCTTCTCTTCCTGGATTTTGGTTCCTTACGTTGATGGTTAAACCACGTTTGCTTACCAGTATGTTTGAGATTGTGGATCTAGAGTCCTGGCTTCCCCCTCTCTCTGTATCTATCTCTGTTTTCATATATTCCTTAATATGCATTTCCTTTGCCTGGTACTAACGTAAGTATTCGCATACAGCCGTCAAGACCCACGCCGCCACACCTCACCAGCATCCAGGCGGAGCAGCTCCTGGCCAATGCCTGCGAGAACGAGGCCCAGAACGCCAAGAGGATGAGACTTGGCTTGGAGCCCATTGCCCAGCCGAACCCACTCAACCCACAACTCCCAACCCAAGTGAGTTTCTTTGCTCTCACATGCCAACCCATTCCCTTTCATCCCCCCTACACACACACACACACACACACACACACACACACACACACACACACACACACACACACACACACCACACACACAAAAGACAGGATGTTCCAGGGAGGGGACACAGAAACAAGAGGCCACAATTGGAAGTTGAAGACACAAATGAGTCAGAGAGATAGTAGGAAGTATTTCTTCAGTCATAGAGTTGTAAGGCAGTGGAATAGCCTAGAAAATGACGTAGTGGAGGCAGGAACCATACACAGTTTTAAGACGAGGTTTGATAAAGCTCATGGAGCGGGGAGAGAGAGGGCCTAGTAGCAACCGGTGAAGAGGCGGGGCCAGGAGCTAGGACTCGACCCCTGCAACCACAAATAGGTGAGTACACACACACACACACACACACACACAGCAACCACAATTGAGTACACACAGAGGTATGATAAAGCTCATGGAGCAGGGAGAGAGAGGACCTAGTAGCGTTCAGTGAAGAGGCGGGGCCAGAAGCTGAGTCTCGACCCCTGCAACCACAATTAGGTGAGCACACACACACACACACACACACACACACACACACACACACACACACACACACACACACACACACACACACACACACACACACACCACACAAACACCCCACAAACACCCCACACAAGCAAGATTATAAATGAAAACCAGCATGGGTTCATGGAAGGCAAATCTTGTATCACAAACCTCCTGGAGTTTTATGACAAGGTAACAGAAGTAAGACACGAGAGAGAGGGGTGGGTAGATTGCGTTTTCCTAGACTGCAGGAAGGCCTTTGACACAGTTCCCTACAAGAGATTAGTGCAGAAGCTGGAGGATCAGGCGCACGTAAAAGGGAGGGCACTGCAATGGATAAGGGAATACCTGACAGGGAGGCAGCAACGAGTCATGGTACGTGAAGAGGTATCACAGTGGGCGCCTGTTACGAGCGGGGTCCCACAGGGGTCAGTTCTAGGACCAGTGCTATTTTTGATATATGTGAACGACATGATGGAAGGAATAGACTCTGAAGTGTCCCTGTTCGCAGATGACGTGAAGTTGATGAGAAGAATTAAATCGGACGAGGATGAGGCAGGACTGCAAAGAGACCTGGACAGGCTGGACATGTGGTCCAGCAACTGGCTTCTCGAATTCAATCCAGCCAAATGCAAAGTCATGAAGATTGGGGAGGGGCAAAGAAGACCGCAGACAGAATATAGGCTAGGTGGACAAAGACTACAGACCTCACTCAGGGAGAAAGACCTTGGGGTGACCATAACACCGAGCACATCACCGGAGGCACACATCAACCAAATAACCGCTGCAGCATACGGGCGCCTGGCAAACCTGAGAATAGCGTTCCGATACCTTAATAAGGAATCGTTCAAGACACTGTACACTGTGTATGTTAGGCCCATACTGGAGTATGCAGCACCAGTCTGGAACCCACACCTGGTCAAGCACGTCAAGAAGTTAGAGAAAGTACAAAGGTTTGCAACAAGGCTAGTCCCAGAGCTCAAGGGAATGTCGTACGAGGAAAGGTTAAGGGAAATCGGACTGACGACACTGGAGGACAGAAGGGTCAGGGGAGACATGATAACGACATACAAGATACTGCGGGGAATAGACAAGGTGGACAGAGATAGGATGTTCCAGAGAGGGGACACAGGGACAAGGGGTCACAACTGGAAGCTGAAGACTCAGACGAGTCACAGGGACGTTAGGAAGTATTTCTTCAGTCATAGAGTTTTCAGCAAGTGGAATAGCCTAGCAAGTGAAGTAGTGGAGGCAGGAACCATACATAGTTTTAAGAAGAGGTATGACAAAGCTCAGGAAGCAGAGAGAGAGAGGATCCAGTAGCAATCAGTGAAGAGGCGGGGCCAGGAGCTGAGTCTCGACCCCTGCAACCACAATTAGGCGAGTACACACACACACACACACCCACACCCGATACACACCACACACCCCATACACACACAGAGGAACCCAGTAGCGATCAGTGAAGAAGTGGGGCCAGGAGCTATGAATTGAACCCTGCAACCACAAATAGGCGAGTACAGAAATTAGAGAAAGTGCAAAGGCTTGCAACAAGACTAGTTCCAGAGCTAAGGGGAATGTCCTGTGAAGAAAGGTTAAGGGAAATCGGCCTGATGACACTGAGAGGACAGGAGGGTTAGTGGAGACATAACGACATACAAAATACTACGAGGAATTGATAAGGTGGATAGAGACAGGATGTTCCAGAGAGGGGACACAGAAACAAGGGGTCACAATTGGAAGATGAAGACTGAGATGAGTCAAAGGGATGTTAGGAAGGATTTCTTTAGTCACAGAGTTGTCAGGAAGTGGAATAGTCTGGCAAGTGACGTAGTGGAGGCAGGAACCATACATAGTTTTAAGACGAGGTATGATAAAGCTCATGGAGCAGGGAGAGAGAGGACCTAGTAGCGTTCAGTGAAGAGGCAGGGCCAGGAACTATGACTTTACCCCTGCAACCACAAATAGGTGAGTACACACACACACACACACAACCACAATTAGGTAAGTACACAGCATATGTGTATGTATGTATGTTTTTGTATGTTTTCCAGTGCCTCTATCTATTCTGTATTATGGCAGCCAAAACTGAGCTGCATAATATGAGTAATGCCTCACTTGTGATGTATAGAGCTGTAAAACTCCTGGTCTCCTGTTACTTATAATTCTTGATATAAATCCAAGTACTCTGTTAGCCTTATTGTGCACACTTATGAACTGTTCTTCTGGTTTCAGATTTTTGCTTACCATGACTCCCAAGTCTTTTTCACATTTTGTATGATAAAGCTCTACATCACCTAGTTTATAAATACAAGGGTTACTTTCATACCCAAAAATTAGTACTGTACGCTGTTGCACTTGTCTACATTGAACTACATCTGCCCCCTTTTTGGACCATGATATTAGTTTGCCCAAATCTTCCTGGAGGTCAGTGGTATACTCCTCAGAATCTGTTATTTGGCCTGTTTTTGTCGTCAGCAAATTTACTCGTGTCACTGGTTATTCCTTTGTCAAGATCATTAGTGTAAATTATGAACAACAGTGTGGAGCACCACTGGTGACTGGTCTTGTTATTATAATCAAAACTAAGCACTAAACCACCAGGGTCATACAGCACTGCTGGTCCCTATTCAGATTTCTCCTCATTTATGCAAACTTTGCTTTTTATTGGTCAACCATGCCTCTATCCATGTTGAACCTTTCCTCCTATACCATGAGCTGCCACTTTTCAAGTCTTTTGTGTAGTACTCTTATGAAAGCCTTACCGAAATTCAAATAAACAACCTTATACTATTCTTTTTATGTGGTTCACTTCTTCAAATGCTGTATTGAAGGAGGTCAGTAAATTTGTCAGGAACGACCTCTCATGAATCCACGTTGAGATTCTTTAATCAAATTATGCTCATTGAGGTGGCTGCATATATGGGCTATAATTAATTCTAACAATGTGCCTACTATTGATGTCAGGCTTATTGGGAGGTAATTTGATGGAATTGACTTATCCCCTAATTTAAAGATAGGAATTACATTAGCTACCTTCTACGTCTCCAGCACAACTCCAGTTTGAAGTGTTAAACAGGCTCGATAGTGGCAGACTGTAGGAGCCCTTTACCTGTCGATTTTTTTTAACAATCGGCTGTCTCCCACCGAGGCAGGGTGACCCAAAAAGAAAGAAAATCCCCAAAAAGAAAATACTTTCATCATTCAACTCTTTCACCTCACTCACACATAATCACTGTTTTTGCAGAGGTGCTCAGAACACAACAGCTTAGAAGCATATACGTATAAAGATACACAACATATCCCTCCAAACTGTCAATATCCCGAACCCCTCCTTTAGAGTGCAGGCATTGTACTTCCCATTTCCAGGACTCAAGCCCGGCTAGATATAAACTTATATCTACAAAACTATGTATGTGTTACAGGTGGGACCAGACAAACCTTTAGCCTTGATTGACACTGTAGTTAAGACAGAATCCAGCACACCACACGTGTCTGCTCTGGCTAAGGCCCTAGAGCGACCCATGATGGACTCCAAAGTTATGAATGGATCATCCATGTTCCAGGCATCATTCCAACAAAGTTTCCAGAAAGTAGCCTCACTTACGGGGTCAACGGTACACACTCAACCAGGTCTTACTCCTCTCCTGGCAACTACCTCTGCACCCATGTTAGCAAATGGTAAGTTGGTCTACAACCATGTCTGTGTTGAATACTTTGTTGCTTCTCTCATACTTTTTGGTCTACCGAAGAATGACTCATTTCAACTACTGTTTCGTATATATTCACAAAAGTGCTAAACCCAAGTAGGTCCTATAGCACCACTGCTGTTTGTCTTCATGTTGGTTCATTTATGCAATTGACTCGCATTTATTACGCTTTTGTGCTTGGATAATTAATATGTTCAGACATTTTCCTATTCGTACATTAATGTAGCAGCAGTTAATATTTTACATTCTTTAACATATCTTCTCCATGATTACTTCAACCAGGACCAACTGACCTGAGTGTTAAGGGAACATCTAAACCTACACGGCCAACGCTCAATGCTGTTGAGGTGGCAGCTGTTCGCCAACTCATAACTGGCTACCGAGAATCTGCCGCCTTCCTCTTGAGGTCTGCCGATGAATTAGAAAATTTACTTATCCATCAACAGAGTCCATAGTGTTTATATAATGTTTGAATGTGTAAATGTGAAATTTCCGTTGTATGTTTACTACGGACGATCACGTATATGTGAATTTGCTGGTCTTAATGGTTGTCTTATTGCTGCTCACTCTAAGATGTATATGGTACAATTTCAGTGTTTTATGAAAATAGTAGTAAAAATATTTATTTATCAACATTAAGTTTGTCTCTATTACTCAAGTCTGTAAGGTAAAAAGCATGAATGTGAAAATTACTGGTGCTGTTTATGTCCAGTTACTGTATAAATCATAAATTGTTAGAGAGTTATTAGGTCCTTTGTAATGCCTTGAAAATTTTCAGGCACTTAGCAATTTTTTGTTCCTACTGTTGTGGAAAATTTTTGTTGCTTAGTTCTCTAGAATTTGTTCTGTCAAATTTACTATGGAAGTGCCTCCACCTTATAAAGTGTTTTATTCATTAGATGCATTCTAATGAATAGGGACAATTCAAGTTCTGTTTCAGTTGATGCACACAGCTAATAGGCAAATTGCCCTTTTCCCATCTTGTGTAAATAATCTGATAGACTTCTTCATAACATGGAAAAAAAGCAATCAGTCAGTGCAAGATTGAAACTAGAGTAATGGTGCATAAGCTGTTGCTAAGTATTTTAGATGTGTGTTTGTTCATGTGAATGCATCTCATGAACAAAACTCAAGTGTATAGTTTAGTGGGATTTTGCTTAGGAACACAAAGTGGCAAAAAGTATAGTGGGTAGATTATTTCATAAATTCCCTCAACTTTTCAGAAGTTGCAAAATATGTTCTCTAACACAGTAATCCTCAAAAATGTATTAACATTCAGTTGAGAAGAAAAAACAGTGGTGAAAAAGAGCTTAAGTTAGTTTTCAGTTGTACTTAAACTGTTAAAAGCTAGGAAGAATTACACTTGTCAAGTAGACTGTCTCGCATTTTTTAATATTTCAGTAGCATTTTATTTCTTCTGTACAATGTGTGAGACAGTAGATCAAATTAAGTTGAACTTAAGCATATAAATACATATTTCATCATAGCTATTGCTTTAAATAAAGAAAAAGTGCAAATTTTTTAAGCAATAGTTCAAACTTGGTGACTCATAATAGTTATCAAAAGACACTTTATTTACAAATTGCTTAGTTATACTTTTAGAGAGAATAGATCATTTTATGTTGATGCCTATACTGGTCTCTACACTCCAAATGTATCTGTGTAGGTGTAAATAGGTAGAGCCCCAATAAAGACTAAGAAATGTATGATGTCCTTTGTAGGATATATATGTACACCATAGAATATCAAGCATGATGTGTGTCATTATAATTCAGCGTCCAGCATTGTGCAATTTGTTTTCTATAGATTCAGATTCCTCTGTACTGGAATTTAAATTATGTTTAGTCCTGCTTTCATTGTTTGACATTGTAAAGGTCTAAGGTTTAATTTGTTATGCTTTCACTGTTTTTAATGATAGGGCACTGTACTGTTAAGTGCCAGCTCACTACAGCATATCACGAGCAAAATCTATTAAACAGGTCTAGGTTCTAGGTTCTTTAAATTCTAGCTGACATCAAAGTGGCCTGTGCCTACACAAAAATTAAATGTTAAATTTTTTATATCACAATTGCTCTGCTCAAGATATATTTTTTTGTTACTGCTGTTTAGCATGTTCCTCAAAACATATTAGGGGTCAGTTTAATGAAATGCTCAATAATGGTACTGTAACTTATTTATATTATTTTTAGTCTTTTTTGGGGAATACACAGTGAACTGCATCAGCAGGATACATGCAAGTGATTTTTGATGCTTGAATTATTGCTTTTAGGTGTGTTTGCAAAAGAAATGCACATACTTGTATGGAACCGGATTTATTATTATTTTTTTTTTTAGTGAAAGTTGAACTAATTTTAGTGAAACTCGAACTTCATACAAGGAGACCTCTGTATCTAGTCACTTCTTCAGATGACCAATCTTTACTTTTATTAATTCTTCACTAAACTGAGATAAGTATTACAGCTATCCAAGCAAACACACTATAACACACTTTTTTTTTTTTTTTTTTTTTTTCATTCTTTTGCTGTAGTTTGCATTGCTACAATGTCTGTCAACACCGTTTACATGATGTCAAAATGTTATTTATCGGGAAAACATTACTGCCATTAGTTCTGTCTGAAGTGCAAGGATAACATCACTACTGATAATTATTGTAATATTCACCAAAAAAAAAAAAATTCCGAGACCATAGGGGTCATTCAGTCAGCATCACTTTTGTCATGAAAAACATGTGCTGTGTCAAATCATATAAAATTAATGAAGTCGGCATCTATACTTTACAAAATTAGTATATTTTGTCATCACTTTACACTTTCCCCCAATGTACCTTATTACAAAATTTATATGATTAGATTTTTGTTAAAGTTGTCATTTGCTTATGCAGCTAATAGGAATGAAAATGTTTACAGATCATCTGGAGATTTGCACCCCTTCCTTTTTCCCTGCCCTGAAGGAAGCGGTGAAAAAAGTTATGCAAATTTTTCACGTGAAAAAGCTAACACATTGTAGTGAATTAATGCAACTTTGTTGGATGGCAGGTATTGCTGGCAACTAAACTAGAAAGATGCTTGATGCACAGAAAACCTTTGTAATAGACGATATTCCACTTTTGGTAAAATTCCACTCAACATTGTCTAATATACAGGAGGTTTTGCTTTGCACCAAGTGCCTGTCTACCATACTAACCTATCCTTGTTAAAATTTATGTAATATAAGAATAATTTTGAGATTTAATTTGCAGTTGGAGTGTGAGCAAGGTAACATTTATGAAGAGATTCAGGGAAACTGGTTAGCCAGATGTAAGAACAGTTCCTTCATTGTGAAGGATGGGTGGGGATTTTTGCAGTTCAGAGGGTTGGTTGAAATGGCTTAGTATTTCTGGTCCCCTCAAGGGAGGTTCCTTGATGCTGGTGAGGGGCTCTTGATCATAGGAATTGGACCCGTGTTCATATTCCTGGAATCAGGTCTGAAAAACCTTCCATTTCCCCAGGTGCTGTATGACCCTGATGGGTTTAGTGCTCCCCATGAATAATAATCTATTTCTGGTATGACAGCTATTCACTGAACAATGAATGAATGAATTTCCTTCCTTGGGGGTCACTCTACCAGGAAACAGATGGTACAACAAAAATAATTTACCAAACCTATAAAAATCTGCAAGATCTATATTTCACTGATTTCCTTGGAGTAATGGGGCAAGTTTTCAGATGACCAATATTTGCTCATGTAAAGTGAGAATCTGAGTGCAAGACAAGTTCATCAGGAATAAGTGCAAAACCTACTATCTTAGCTCTCTTTAATGTGCTGATGTGCACCTTTTCTTATCTTCTGCATTACTGAATGATGATAAACTTTAATTATACCAAAGATGGAGATTTATCTGATCTCACAACCCTTGTAATAGTTAAGTTGTCTTTTCTACTGTTGTTTTGAACAATGGTGTATTGTATTTATTTGTCTTCATATAAAAATATATACTGAATACAGTATATAAAAATATATACTATATAAATATATATTATTTGGATATCTTTTTCTATTCTTTAACCCTGATGGAATATTTCACCAGTCTAATCAACGCTGTTTTTGGATTCATGTCAGTTTAGTTGTTATTCTGTCATGTTTTATGTACATAATTTTAAAGGAATACAAGAGCTCTTTAAACAGTGTTTAAAATATTTTTTTATAATTTTCTTTTAAGGCTTTAGTTAAAGAACATTGTTCATCAATTCTTAACTCGTAACACAATGTATTATTTGTGTGCGTGCGTGCGTGTGTGAATAATTTTAAAACATGAAATAGCTCTCGAAGTGTCGTAAAATGCATTATAAAAGTTCTGTGAACACAATTGATTATACATATAATTTTTTTTCTTTTCACCTCAATAATCAAGTTTTAAATGGGCAAAGGGATCATGTTCCTTTATGAAACCAAAAAAATTTCAACATGATTTCCATGATTTGGAAGATTTCTTCCACATGTTTAATTTAATAAAACCCATTCCATTATAAGGTGCATGATGGACCCGCATCTCTTCAGCACAGCCATGAACTTAAAGTGCCTGCAAATATATAAAAGAAAACTTGAATATCAATGAAAGAACTATTCAGTAAAAAGTAGTAGATAAATTCTCTTCAGTTTTACATGTAGTATTCAAGATAGATATGATTTAGCCAACCTGTCCTCCTAAGCAAACATCTGTATTTTACAGTCAAGACTTATCAGTCAAATGACTAGTGCAAAGAAGTGAATGTTGAAATTTTACTCTTATGCTTCCTCAGTATTTTTTGGCGTTTCCCCATTTTCTGTATGAACGTCTGAACATAATTTTGCCTTTATGTGCTGTTACCTTTATTGGTGTTTAATATATAATTAGATAAATTTGGTTAATTGTGGTTAACCTAGCCTAAATAGCTTGTGTATATTATTATCATCATCATATTTATGGGGAAGTGCAAAACCTGTTGCAATTAAACCCGTGCTGAGGAATGGAAGGTTTGATCCAAGAAAACGCAGGGAGCTCCAATTCCTTGGATCAAGAATTCTTCACTAGCACCCCCTTAATTGGCATATAGCTTACGTAGATAAAATGGCTTAAATATACAAGTGAAGCAGTAATGTTAGCATTAGGAGGAGAGGCTGGCTTTAGCATATAAACTCTTTGCAAAGGGGGTCATGTTTTGTGTGCGAGAACTGGTAGGTGCACTGGCCAATGTAAAGTGCCCCTGTGTGCGTGCGCGTGTGAGACAGGTTGTTACATCTGAGAATATTATCTTTGTACTGACCATGGAAATAAATGTAATTGTTAAATGGTTGGGATTTTAATTAAGTTTCCTAAGATGCAGTTTAAATAGCAATATTAGTACTGTACTGGACTAACATGTTAATACTTGACTGGATTAAAAGTGATATAATATTTGACCAGGCTAATATTACTATAAAACTTGACTGGGCTAATACTACTGTAATACTAATTAATACCATTGTAATACTTGACTGGGTTATGACTACTCTAATACTTAACTAATACTACCATAATACATGACCAGACTAATACTTCATAACACTTGCCTGGAGTGACACAAATGTGCACAGTAATGGTATACAACTGCATTATTCTCACAAGAAAGCACTAAACCCTTATAAATCATAGTGTCATGTGGCAAGAGGGGTGATGGCAGTGGAAAGTGCACAAAAGTGGAATTATGTACAAAAGAGTAAGAAGAATCAAGGTACTTCCTTTGAAAGACCATAACTAAACATCATATAATATTAAGGGGTTCAGTTACATAATACTGTATTGCTACACAATTAAGTTCTTTCTCACTTGTTACTCTGTGCTTTCAATGCACAAGAGATCATTCACGATCAATACAGAACATGCAAACACTGAATATGCTTGCTTCCAGATAAAACATCATGTGCTATCTGAACTTATTCATATCACTAGCCTTATCAATAGTTACAAATCAACAAGATAAACAGATATAGGTTAAATCTCTCTCACAACACATGATAAAAGATAGAGCAGTTTCACAGTTTCTTCAGATGTGTTCATGTCTTCTTAAGAATTCTATCAACAGTTTTTTCATAAAAAAACAATGCATAATAGCAGACACATGCAGGACTGATAAATACACACACATGATAATGGGTTCTTGCTTAAGTACCACAGTAAAAGCAGAATTGAGAGATAAACAGGAATCACAGTCGACAATGAAAACAGACATGGTAAGTAGATAGAAAAGAGAGAGTTGAACACCGATGATAAATAGGATTACTGGGTAAGATAGCTATAGTTCCTAGTCATTGTGGCTTGCAATACACAAATTTAACTTAGTGGATAGTCACAATGGGACAAGCTTGAGTGCTTGTGTGTGCCTGAGAGTATCAATACCTATCTGTATGGCTGTGCTTGGGTATGCATGACAAGGGTAAAAGAGAGATGGTAGAGGTAAAGAAGTGGTGGTACAGAAAATGTGTCAGTTAAGAGATCATGGAGAATCTGCAATAAATGTAGAACCATCAGAGAGGAAGGACAATGAGATAGCATGTCAGAGTCATTAAGAAGGCATCTGCAATGAAGCTGGTAAACTCTGATAAACAGGATGATTTGTTCAGTATATGCATGAGTGGCAATTCTTTCAGTGGTACAAAGCTATCATTATGCACAGGAGGTGCACTTTCATTGTACAAGACATCAGGATACAAAATCAACAGACTGTAGAACAACTGAGACAAATATTGTACAGACTGTACAGGAAAAAAGATAAAGAGCCCAACAGACAAAGGAAGGACAACCATACTTATAAAGATATGCAGTAAACAAATCTAGGGAAATTAGGAGGATATGGGAAAGCCTGGGATGCACTGGCAGAATTGGAAAGATTAGTGGCTGAAGATAAGGAAGGAATCAGAGGTGTGACTGAAGAGAGGAACTGTTAACTATGCTATAGGACAGAAAAAATGTAGACCCTACTATGGAAGAATAATGGTGATAAATCGTTTAAGACTGACCTTATCAGAAATCAGATAGAACTGTCCATATGCCTCTAGCTCATTAATATAGAAAACCTATCATTACCGTAAGGCAGGACAAACTGATGTGTGGGGAGGATGGGGGGGGTGATTTCCCAGACAACTGAGGCATCCCAGGGTATAGTAAAGTGATAGGAAAGGTCATTATATGACAAAGTATTACATCAAAAGAACAATAGTACTTTACTGTCACAGAGTAGGAAGCAGCTCCTATTAACTATCTGGCCACCAAACAGACTATTAATATCAGGAAGTGGCAGTTAAACTGCATTAAGTTACATTACTTGGATGGGGGTAGTGATCATAAGTGGGTCAGATGAATTTCTACATTGGAAACATGAAGGCCTGCAGATATCTGCAGCAGACTCCCCAAAGAATTGCGAGGAAAACTTACTGAGGAAGGATGACCATTTTGTAGCACAAGTTCAGTTGTGCTTGGTCACTGAGTGATAGATGTGCCAGCCACCATTTGGATCTTGGAGAGAACATCAGCTTGTGCAGCATCTTGCATACACACAATATAACCTTGGTCTTGTAATGTATAGACAGTGATCTCATGACTAACTGACAATGTGAGTGTAAAAGATAATTTGTCATTATGTAATTCACCAGCTGTTTTTGGCCACTCACAAAAATTTCCACGTTTATATCTCACAGTGGAAAGCAGATTCTAAGCAAGGTGAAAACCAATGAAGGTCCTTCTTTGAATGAATCTGATAAGTCTGAGAGAAGTGCAAGTTCACAGACTTGCTAAATAATTGTATATTTTGTAAATGCAGTGAGTAGAAATAAAGAATCTAATCTAAATCTAAACATCTGATACATCACACAATCCTAATTACTTGAGGCATACTGGTTACAGTCTAATGTGGATAATGATGGAGGTTTGCAAGAAGACAAGTGGGCCATGCCAGCAATTTGCCCCAGTGCAACACATTTGAATTTTTCATATTTTCATTATACTTAAACAAATTTATTGCCTTCAGGTAAATTTTTGGAATAATTTATTACCAAAAATATAAGACACATTCACCATCATTCATTTTCTTGCTATCTTTTCAGAAAGGCACTGGAATAATGCTCCAAAGATAAACCAACAATGCACAACATTCAAAGCCAACTTTCAAAGTTCAAGTACTGCAATACAGTATACACAATAAAATGTAACTGTTTCATTTGACTGAGCATTCATATTAACTTTTCATCATTCATTCAATATACAAATCAACCAGTTATTAGAATTTTTTTAAAACTTGAATCTTAAAAAACTTCAGCATTACTGACCTGCTTGGTTTAGCATGACTTTCTTTTTCAGCTTTCTGGCCAAGTGGAACTTGTACGGAGAATGGCCGAGAGACAGATAGCTATGCAGGTGGCTACAGTTCGTGAGATGATCGTCTGGTTTGTTCCTTTCACTATATCTTCATACGGATTTCTTTATTATGGACATATCAAAACCAATAGCTGGGTCGTCATGTTTCCCCTTATTCCCATTACATTTGGTCTTGGATACCAACTCCATTATGCTTATGGTAACAAAATACATCAAATTAAAGGTAAGTGTTAATCTTTTCTAAGATACAGTACTTTACCATAAAATTGCAATAAGTTCAAAGGACAGGGTTTCATATTCTTAAATCTGAGCTGGTTTTGTCTGAAGTCCACTCCCCTATGTTTGCCTTTTATATAATAAACCTGTGAAAATCAAATATACCTGTATATTTTGTATGGTCCTGTGATTTGAGAATATATACCATATTTTATGGCAAACAAGACTCTCCAATTCCAATTGGTTAAATTTTGGAAAAAAAAGATAAATGGTACTTTGGCCTCTAAGATGCTGGGTAAATTTGAGACTTATTTTGGGGAAAAAATAGCATCTTCAATACTTTAAAATATGGTATATTTAGTACAATTATTAATGTTGCATTGATTTTTAACATGCATTACCTATTTTGTCTAAAAGTGAAAACTGAGAAACACTTCTGAAAGACAAATGAAATGGGTAAAAGGAGATGTGAGCATTTCAGTCACAGGGACTCTTTGCAGTAGGACTGCCTGAGGCTGAAATGCTGTATATATGTGCTGCTTCAGTGTGAACAAAGTAACAAGGAGGAGGTCAGGAAATCTGAATCTTGGAGGCAGGAAGAACAATGCCTGCACTCTGGAGGAGTGGGGATAATTCAGTCAGGTCATCTAAATTGTGATGTCAACACACTTCTGGTAAGACGTGATTGAATGATTGATAGTGAATGTATTTCCTTCTTTGGGTTGCCTGCCTTTGTGGAACATGGCTAGTAAGGTGTTTAGGTGTTATGTCAAAGTAGTTTCTCACTTTTCTTTAATCAGTGATTATGGAACTTTAACTAAAGTTAAATGTGTACCCTCACACACTGAAGGTAATGTTTACTTTATTCCTCTAAGAACTGGCTGAGAACATTATGGCAAATGAAACCCACATGATGATGGTGCCAGAGTGGACAACTGGTGTCAGTGAAGGTCACAACTCATCAGTCAAGGCAGTCACAGATGTACCACACTCGCTTAAGAACGTGACCTTCACACCTCCTTCCATAACCACACATTCTGCAGGTGTAGTCTTCAAGCCAATGGTTACCAGCTCTAATCCACCCTAAATACACTATTATACAGTACTCTGGTTCTGAAAAAAAAAGACACATTTCTACACAGTTTATATTTCATCATCAAATAAGTTACCAGTTTGTTTATGCCTTCTGAACAGAATTCTGGCAGCTGATTAAGTAGCCATCAATCACCTGCCATTATTACATCATGTGTATCCTCCCAGGAACTTCTTCAGAGGCCCAACAGATGAAAATCACTGGGGAAGGGGAGAGATTGAGGCTGTAATTGTAATAACAGATCTGCCCTCGTATTAATGGGAAGTGCTAAATCTGTAAGGGTCATACAGTGCCTGGAGAATGGGAGGTAATCAGGTTGTTTTATTCAAGGAAGAGGAGGGTAGCTTCAATTCCTTGGAGTCAGAGCCCTTCACTGGTATCAAGGTGCCTCACAAAAATGCATTGGAAACAATATACAGTACAATATTGGTATTAGTTTCTTCAAGGATGGTGAACGGCTCTTCTTCCAAAGTATTGGAGTTACTTCTCCCCTTCCTCAGATCAAACCTGATTACCCATAACTTTTCTGTATGACCTTTACAAGTACAACAGAACTCCCGTATCCACTGCTTTGATATCCGTGGTTTCAGATAACCACAGTTTACTGTGGCCCAAAAATATCTCTTAATTTTGCATAATAATGGCCCCAAAGAACAAAATTAGAGAAGCTGGCAGTTCTTCAAAGCCTAAGAGAAGCCGTGAAGTGCTTCCCATCAATAAAATTGATAATTCTCCACTTATTGTGCATAATTTATCAATTAAACTTTATAACAGGTATGTACAGGACTTATATATAAGGTTTGCTATCATCCGTAGTTTCTGAATCTGTGGCAGGTCATTGGAGTGTATCCTGTGGACATGGGGGTCCTACTGTATAGCACTTTCCTGCTAATATAATAATAATTGCAGTGATGAATATGAACAAAAGTAGCAAACAGAAGAATATACAATATTACCCTCTAACACACTTTTTTGTGAGTTATTCCTAATCTTTTAACATTGAATACAATATCTGTTAAAGACATTTAAGATTTTTATAAGATCTTCATTATTTTACAACAATGACAGTTATTATTATTCTTGCCAAGAAGAAAACTAAGAATAGTAAGAAAGCTCCTTCAGTTACTATATTATATAATGTCGGATGGTTTTCCATTATTTTGATAATACACTGGTAATTGTAATTAAATGTAAGAAATAAAACTATATTCTAAACATTTATAAAAAGACTAAAAATTTTGAGCTTGACAGTTTGATCATAGCAATATATTGATGTAAAAGGAATTAAAAAAATATATAACATTATCTTTCCATTTCCCTTCCCCCCACCATGGAGTTCAATACAGAGGTACCAAAAAAAAAAGTCACATGGAATAAAACTGCATTACGCAGTGAAGAAAATATAAGGAAAATAAGGTTATGTTCCAGACATCATCATATTTAACCCTACAATTTCATTTTTACTACTGTACTAAGTAAAAACTTACCTCACATTCTGGAAGTAAGTACTTGCAGCATTTGGAGTGTGAGAGGAGGAAGGGTTGACATTAGGCTGCTGAGCCAAATAGGATAGCTATTGTTCCTGTGATGCTGAGGCAGAGTTTTCATTGCACTTTCAACCATATCTAGCACTTCCATTTTCTTGAACAATGTCTTAAATTCAGGCTTAGTCTTCTTGCTGCCTCCAGCATCACTGAGTACCGGGTTAACAGACAGATGGGGTGATGAAATTAAAAACACTAGGTAACCATAATAAAATACTTTACAAGAGGTCTCATATCAAGAGGATTTGCTGTACAGTATATATCAGTAAGCAAGAGAGGGCCTGGAAGTAGCCACAGGATCAAAAGTGTAGTGTTCACTTCAATGTCTACTTTACCATAGCCAAACACCACTACACCTGAAACCATCAGCAGGCCAAGAACCAACCCATACTTGAAAATCATTGACGCCTGTAACCTTTAAAGTGGACCATGAACCAAAAACATATGAAATGCATTTGAACAGCAATGGTGGGTCAACACCCAGCATTTAAGAGGTCTAATGTATCTCAATAGAGTAGCAAATAACTACAGGCAGGTCATGTTTTACAGCACTTCACTTTACAGCATTTCGCTAATACAGTGTTTTTCAGTTATACCTATTTTTCATTTATTCAGGCCACTTACAATAAATATATTCACCACTCACTAGAAGCTAAGGCTGACAGTATTTTAAGGTAAGTAATGTGTGTACAGTGGAACCTCTACTTATGAGTTTAATCCATTCCATGACCTTGCTTGCATCTGGATTTGCTCGTTTGCAGAGTCAATTTTCCTCATTTAAATTAACTGAAATGAAATTAATTCATTCTAGTGGAATTCCAGGCACGAGAAAATACTTCAATAATTTCCCTAATATCAACTCTATGGATTATTTATCTATCACAATTCATGTAATATGACATAATAAACAATATTAATAACACAGAAACATGATATGTACACTAGAATGAATAAAATACATATCATTACACACATGGCTAGTGGTAGTGACAGCGGCCATTGTTGTTGTTGGGGTTTATAGAGCCACCACAGCAGACATTTCTGCTCCTGACAACATGTGTAGAGAACCTAGGATAAGCCAAAAAGGCCAGAGTGACTTATAAGTGCTACGCTCATGATGTCTGCCACTGAAAATTAAGACACATGTGCAACATCTGGGTATCTTTATTGTAGACGTTTCGCCATCCAGTGGCTTTATCAATACAAATTCCAGGACATAACTTGAAGACAGAAGGACTATATACAGAAGATGAGGTAATCAGTCCCTCAACCAGGAGTAGGTGTGAAGAGCACCGTAGTCGTGGAGATTCTGAAGCAGAAGTAAGGAGCCTGGCGCTTATATACTAACGTCAGGTGTAGCAGACGAGGGCATAGTCACTAGTAGGCGGGATTCCCCAGTGGAAGTAGGTCCTTCCCAAAGAGATGGGTTAGTTGTAGTACAGTGGACCCCCGGTTAACGATATTTTTTCACTCCAGAAGTATGTTCAGGTGCCAGTACTGACCGAATTTGTTCCCATAAGGAATATTGTGAAGTAGATTAGTCCATTTCAGACCCCCAAACATACACGTACAAACGCACTTACATAAATACACTTACACAATTGGTCGCATTCGGAGGTGATCGTTATGCGGGGGTCCACTGTAGTAGTTGTCGTAGTCGTGAAGGTTATGTACATGTCCTCAGAATCAAGATTCCATGATGTTGCAGTGTCTGACAAGTTGTGCAAGAATGGTATATAATACCGACAAGATGAAATTAAGACACGTGCAACATCTGGGTATCTTTATTGTAGACGTTTCGCCATCCAGTGGCTTTATCGTGATGTATGCTTCATGATGTCTGCCACTGCTGCTTCATGTTGTCTGCCACTGCTGCTTCATGTTGTCTGCCACTGCTGCTTCATGTTGTCTGCCACTGCTACCTTATGTTGTCTGCCACTGCTGCTTCATGTTGTCTGCCACTGCTACCTCATGATGTCTGCCCCCACTTTTGCTAGCATGTTGAAGAGCTTTCCAATATGTGAAGGTTGAGGGGCAGTGCCAATCTGGACAGGTATTGGACAGTGACGTCATTTGTTTACTCTTGAACATCACCAAAGAATCGAACATTTCTGCTACTGTGAGCTCAATTTCCAGGTACTTTTAATCGTGAAACCTATCAAAATCATATCTATTTCTGTGCCATATCTTCCATTCTATCAAATGAGACCAAAAAAATGAGAATACAACCATAAAAACCATACTAAAATATACCACTAAGGGGAGGCTAATGGCTGAGAAGTGAACTCCGTTATTTATAGTCCGATTTCTTTCATTTTTGGTGTATGCTAAGAAGCATCTTTCCATCATATGTTGCCCAAGTTTCAATAAGATAGTCCAACAAACAACTGAGATGCAATTCCCTAGATCAAGAGCAAGAGCCCCTCACCAGTGTCAAGGAAAATCCCTTGAGGCCCGCTTGCATCTGGAAATTTCGCTCGCATCTGGAAGCAAAAAATCGACCAAGCGACTGCTTGTATCTGAAAAAACTTGCACGTGGATGCACATGTAAGTAGAGGTTCCACTGTACTGTATATGCATTTTTTAGTCCTACTGCTCCCTTAATATATGGTAGTGTAAACATGTTAACAGGCTTTTATATGCATTTGAAAGTGAAAAAAAAAAAAGCTATGATTCACTTGACACCAGTAGCCCAGAACTTAACCTGTTGTATAAGTGGGGCCCTCCTGTGGCTGAATTTTTCAGTGGGGCCAACACTGAAATTTCAGTTATACAGTACCATTATATGCTCACCAAAGAAAGGTGTTCCAACTAGTGGGCAGCAACTACTGGATCAAGCCCAACCTTCAGGTGAGCAGAAACAAAGGGTGCACAGGTCTCTATGCACAGCAAACATACGAGGACAACATAGCGAGTCTCCATCACCACAGTCACCCTGGCATGAGAAACCATAAGACACCAGCAAAAACCACAATCGCACATCATGGAAAGGGATCTACTCTTATGAGCATCTCTGAAAGAGAACATCAGTGCTGGATTGAGGATGGATGAAATGGTGGAGGGTGTGATATGGGAGGTTGTTAAAGATGTGAAGATGTCAGAATGAGCAGATGTTAGATTTTGAGGAAGAGAACTTTTCTTTATGCAGAGGAAAGTGTGAGGTAAAGGTTAGGGACATATGAAGCGTTGCACATCACAAAAGAATAAGCGCCACCAAGACCAAAATACGGATTAATGTATAAATCAATTCCTAATGTTTTGTCTGTAGGAATGTGTAAATATTAGTCTTTTTGCCCCATCTGTAAATTAGGTTCAGAGCCCCATAAAGTATGGTAACATGAGCTCTATAGCTCTGATTTCAACTTACTCTGACATTTTTCTCCTTTTTTTGACTTTAGCACTTATTACTTTCTGACCCAATACCTCAAATGTACTTCTGTGCCACCCCCCAAGTAAAGGCAGAAGAGATTTTGGGTGACTATTTGGAACCAGGAATTTGATGAATAATGGGGGTGTTAGAAGTGGGGATCAAGATTATACCTTTGAAGGGTTTCGAGTTTCACTACTCTTGGAGCCTGGGATCAAGGTTGAAGAAGGGGTGTCTTCCAGGGGATGAAGGGATGTCTTTCAAGGTAATTTCTTTGTAATGCTTGTGTACAGGCACAGGGATGTTGTATGATGGCGCTGAAGGTATAGGTCAACACGCAGAGAAACTTGCATGAAACCGTTGGAAATTCCCAATGTTTCTGTTAGAGGGAAAGGTCATAACCTGACTGTATGTAGTACCCCCAATCACTTTCAAATAACAGATTTTATGTTAAGCAGATGCAGCAATGGAAGGAATAAGAATGGCCCTTCAAACTATTAAGCCAGGGAGATGAATTATCACTAGAAGTGGTACTCTGAGAGACATCAATACTTGCGAATGCCATAATGCAATAATTTTGACATAAATGAGGGTTGGATTAGACTTCATACAATCAAACGTGATTGCTAAACATTTTGGAGTGGAGCTCACAGCAGAAAACTTTAATGCTAGAGTAGTGCGTCATCCTTATGGGGAATGAATAAAAGCATGACTTAGTGATAGGCTGTTTGGATTCTATTTGATAGCAATGCCATCAAACAAAGGATGCTTTGAATGAAACCTGGTTTATAAAGTTCATAGATGAAAGCATAACACCATGCAATCTTGCAGTGTTATTCTATGGGTTTGTGCAAATTTAAGCACAAACCATAGATACAATTTGCAGTCTTTCATTTAACCCTTTAATAAACTTTATAAATAGAACACCAAGGAGTAGGAGATGGTGGTGTGTTAAAAAGATAAAAAAAGAAACTAATATCTAGAGGTAATCCCTAATGGAACATGTGAGTCATTACAATCTTTTGCATAAAAGTGCCTTAATTTATGCAAACCAGTAATCTCCTTACAATTTAGAGTATGCTTCATCAAACTATTTTCAACAATATGTATTCTAAATAAAGAAATTGGCCACTAATTTTAACAAGCATGTCAAAATTTATAATAAAATTTGATCATCAGTTATCCAGCAATCAATTATTCAGAATCTAACGTTATTCAGTTATCTTGCTTGATTTGGCATCTAATGAAACAATGATAAAAACAGTGTAATAAACAAGAGACCATCTCTATGGGAAAGTGGAGAAGAATCCTTCATCTATAAGCCATGTGTGTCATAAGAGGCAACTAAAATGCTGGGAGCAAGGGGCTAGTAACCTCTTCTGTATAAAT